TCCAGATAATCAATCCCATATGTCTGTGTATAGCCTTTTGCAACCAGCCTAGTCTTGTACCTTTCAATGGTGCCATCAGCATGATATTTGATAGTAAAAACCCACTTAAAGCCTACTGGATCCTTCCCTTCAGGCACATCAACCACTTCCCAAGTGTCATTCTTGTGCAAGGCATCAATTTTTGTTCTCATAGCATCCCTCCATTCTGGATTATTAAGAGCTTCTGACACAAACCTGGGAATTGGATTAGAGGCAACAGAAGAAAGGTAGGCAAAATATGAAGGAGAGAGCAAACTATAAGAAATGTGTTTGGAAATGCAATGTGCAGTACACTTCCTATTTCCTTTCCTAATAGCAATGGGGACATCAAGATCTGGGAAGGATGGTTCTAAAGGAGCTGTAACAGTACTTGTTGTCTCACCTGTGACTGGAAGTGCATGAGGCTCATGTGTTGTAGGGAAACAACCTGCTCGTTTCTGGTTCTTTGCCTTTCATACATCATGGGATTAAAAAGAGGGCAAGGAGGTAAAGGGGGAGGAACAGGAACACTGGAATGAGAGTGAAGTGACTGATCCTCCCTTGATTCATTTGAAGGAGGAATAGACTCATCAAAAGACTCAACTAGGACAGGAAGAGGAAGAGCAAACACCTATGACAAATCATCCCCCTTTGGACAACGTCTCTCCAGAGATGAACCATAAAAGGGAGAAAGCTCATCAAATGTGACATCCATTGAGACATACCAAGTGCCAGCCTTTGGATCAAAACAACAGTAACCCTTCTGTGTGGGGGAATAACCAAGGAAAATACACTTGTGGGCTTTTGGTTCAAATTTATGCCTTTGGACACTTGGAATATGTACATAACAGGTGCAGCCAAAGACACAAAGAGGAATAGGAAAAAGGTCATTGTTCGGATGAAGGAGACTGAAGGGAGACTTAAACCCTAAAACCCTGGATGGCATACGGTTTATAAGGTAGGTAGCAGTAAGAACAGCATCACCCCAAAACTTTGTAGGGACATGTGAAGCAAATAAGATACTTTTTGCATTGTGAGGCAAATAACCCCTGAATCAGTGAGATAGCAGGTCAAGTTTTTATCAAAATATTCTTTTGCATTGTCGAATCTGAAAATTTTAATCCTAGTATCAAACTGGGTTAGGACAAATTCATGGAACTACCTCACAAGTCTGGGAACTTCATCACGGGACTTCATCAAAAATACCCAAGTGAACTGGGAAAAATCATCAATGAACAAGATAAAATATTTGTATCCACCCATAGAGGGTAAATGGTAAGGCCCCTAGACATCAGAGTGCACAATATTAAAAGGAGAATAAGATCTTTTATTACTCAAAGGATAACTGTTTCTACAATGTTTTGACAGTTCACAAGACTCACAATGAAGACTGGACAAACTAATTCCCTTAAACAGTTCAGGGAATAAATGACTCGATGCAGAAAAAAAAAAGATGACCCAAACGAAAATGACATAACATGACTCGACTGATAGACTTTGTAGATGTAGACCCAAAAGCAGCTTTTCCAGGTTGTTCACAGCACTATCCAAGAGTATCTAGCAGGTATATTCCATTCTCCTCACAGCCACTCCCAATCACCTTCTAAGACTCCAGATCTTGAAAAACACAGTAGGAAGGGAAGAAGGTTACACAACAGTTTAATGACTTAGTAAGACTACTTACAGATAACAGATTTGTATTTAGTCTAGGTACATGAAGAGCAGAAGGAAGAACCAAGGAGTCTGTAGCCTTGATGGTTCCCTTGCCGGAGATAGAGTCAAGAGAGCAATCGGCTAGGGTGATTTTGTCACGTCCAGGAAGTAAATCATATGAAACAAGCAAAGTGGAAAGGCTGGTCATATGATCATAAGCACCAGAATCAATAATCCAAGGGATCCTACGATTACCTGAAATGATTGCATGATTGGCAGAAGCCCGTATACCTGAATGAGCAAATGCAGAAGAGGTTGAGTTCTCTGAAGGGTTGGAAGAGGAGGTCACACCCTCTAGATGATTGATCATTCTCCCAAACTTCTCATATTCAGCCTTCATAGCTGCTACTGCACACTAGCCGACATCTCTTCAGTTTGGTACCTGTCACTATCTGAACCAGCAGCAACATTAGCACTCCCTGCCCTTTTATTATCAGGCTTCTTCTGAAATCGAAGTGGTAGTAGCTCAGGATGCAACTTCCAGCACCTGTCTTTAGTGTGTTTTGGCCTTTTACAATGCTCACAAACAATCTCTTTCTTCCCTGAACTACTAGGAGTTCCTGCAGTCCCTTTTGGTTTCACTCCCATATTGGCAAAGTGATCATTTAGGCCAGCCCCTTGAACCTGAACAAGTCTCCTACTTTCTTCACTACTTACCAAGGCATATGCCTGAGACAGAGAGACACTATCCTTGGACAAAATATTTTGTTTTGTAATATCATACTCTGGATTTAGTCCTGTCAAGAATTCAAACACCCTGTTTCTCTCAACCTGTTTTCGGTAGGTCTCAGCATCATTAGTGGTGTCCCATGTTACAGCTTCTATCAGATCTATTTCTTGCCACAAAGACTTCAGTGTTGAGAAGTATACAGCTAATGGTTTCTCCCCCTGTTTTAAATTCTTCACATCACTTCTCAACTTGTAAGCTCTGGCTAC